CGAGGAGGATTATTATGAATGAAATTACGCGTGTGTGCTACTTATATCCCGATTAATCCAACACGAGTGTCCTTGAGCGTTGACGATCCTTTAGACCGGGGGTACTGTAGCGGGCGAGCTGGCAACGAAACTGGGAGCGCGAGACGCGGTGTAGATACGCGTAAGGAAGCGTAACGTCTACGTAGAGCCGAGCCTCTGACTCGCGACTTCCGGTCAAGCAGCAGGAAGCACGCTCGGTGCCTCGCCGCCACCGACGCCCGCGAATTGTGCCCGACGACATCTTTAGACCTGGCTATATATTTCAGAGAACTGCAGCGAGCGTTCCAAGTTTATTCGAAAATCGCAACACAAACTATAGCACAAAACACCGAAACGCACTATGGATATATAGGAGAAATAAAAGATGCGTTACAAAATTCAATTTTGCGGTTTCTTCAAGTCTGATCCGTTCTATAATTTCGAGCAAGGTTCGGTTATTGAAAAAATGTGCAATGCGTTTAAAAATTTTTGCTTTCGAGAAAAACTCGCGTTTAGATTCGTTGAAAGAAAATTTCTCATTGCACGTGCGCAGAACTTTTTCTCCGAACGTCTTCTGCTCTCTCTCGTTTCTTCCAACTCGCCTCGAAAAGTCAGTCGACGATATTACTTCGGTCTCTGTACACAGTTGTGGGGTTGGTTTCCCTCTTTCTTTTCGAACCGCTGCGAATAAATGTCAAAGAAGACTGCCTGTCTCGAGAGAAGAGATGACATTACACGTGTACAAATAAAAACCGTGCGGGAGAAACGTAAATAGAAAAATAGAGAGTATAAAGAACGAAAAACCGCGTCAACGTTTCTCTCGCGAGTTCGCTGCACTATGTATGATGTCTCACGATCACGAACGTTGGCATCTTAACGATGCCGTTAATTGACCTACACGCGGCATTTTTTTTTTTTTTACGCGCGAAACTCGCGCATATTTATTCCGCGTTCGCGCTCGTAACGACGTCGTTAATTGTCTCACGGCGAGAGTAAGCAACTCTTTTTTTTTGTTCGCAAACGCGCTCAACTTGTTTCGCGTAAAAATAAAAAAAATAAAAAAAACGCTTAACTGTGTCACGTTTGAATTCGTAAAATCCAAATTTCTCGACGCGGACGTTTCCGATTTCATCTCTTTTTTACGATTTTTCACGCGGATGTTGTGCAGTCGCCTTTCTATCCGCGAATCGAAGTGTGTTGCAGCACACAAATTTTTATTATTTTTCTATAGCTGTTTACACAAAAAGTTTCGCTTTTTGAGAAAAGTAATTTAAAAAATTAAAATCTTCTGTTTTTTCAATAAACGAAGTTTAATTGTCTTAAAAAAGTCTTAAGAAATATACAACATAGAGTTTTACAAAAATTATTCAAATTCTCGAAAGCCTTAGAGAGCTAATTTTTTCTTCACGCTCTTCGAAATCGATTTCTTGTGCAAAACAAATTCTACTGCATACATTGTTTCTCACGCAAAATCATGTTGCGTCTTTTTTTACCGATTATAATTTTAATCGAGCGGATATGTTTTTTTTTTTTTCGTGTAAACTCGGAATCGGACCGCGAGAACATTCGGGTGCATCGTGGGGCCCACATTCGCGCGGACCGAAATAAGCGCGGTGTGGGTAGGTAGAGGTAGGTATACCTGTTTCGCGTCTCGCTTCGCTAATTTTCGTGCGCGTTCGCACGCCGAAATGAGAGCTTTAATTTCGTGGCAACAACCAGGCCCGCCGCGCCTAATTGACATAGTGAAACACAGCGACGGAAAGAACGTTAGTTCGCTCGTGTGCGCCCGCTCGCACGGCGCCGATCTGCCTGACGACGCGATAGAAGGAAGAGAGCAGAAAGAGAGAGAGAGAAACGCGTACATCATATTAATTCCTAATTGTGTAATTATCCTTCTAATTACAGTTCCGCGCGCGCCGAAATTATCCCATCGTTCGAACTTGTCAGACCGAAAGCGAGACACACGCGTTTCTCCCAAGGATCCTTCTCCCCGCGATTTCGAGGGCGAGGAATTTGAATTTTACGACGGTACTTAATTATTCATTTAATCGTACGTTCGGGGAAATGAGACTCTCGTTTCCACGGGAAAGTATTCAAAACGGAACGAAATCTCTCAGATTTGCGTGAAATAAAGATTTGTTGTTGTTTTCGCACACGCACGCGGCGAAAAGCCGCGAAGAGAGATAGAGAGAGAAGAACTTCGCGACACAATCGATTAATCTATTTCGTGTGATTATCGCACTGAAAAACACGTTGAACTTTGGCGCGAAAAAACGTCGGGAGAATTATCCGTTTGAAATTTGCGCGAGGTCGAGAAACGCGTAGTCGAAATAATTGACGCTAATTGGGCAAATTGACGTCGTCAAATGGAGAGAGGGATGTTATTTCTCGCTAGCTGCGGCTTTACCTGTTGATTCCCCTCTACGGACATGTTGCGCCATTCGGTCGCCGATATATTTCGGGGAGAGAAAGAAATTCTCATGATTAGAGTAAATTGCGCGCCTTATCGCTTGTCGTTAACTCGAAAACAAAAGGCAGCGAAGCGCGCAGGTGAACACTATTATAATTCGCTCGTCGAGCGTTTGAAAAACTTTATAGTTATCTGTCATTATAATCAGCGAGCTACATTATAATAATTACGCCCGTGTTTTTTCATTGTCTGTGTAATTTGTTTTTTTTTTTTTTTTGTTTTAAATGCGAGTCGAAGGCAATTTCTAAAAAACATGTTCGAAAACAAAGCGACTGTGAAAAATCGATCCGAACTCTGTATTTAATTAAACAGTTTCCAGATTAAAATTTCATCGCAGAACGAAAAATGCTAATCGGAAGTGCAATGTGGCTGACAATGACCTTGAGGGAACTCGTTTTGCGACTTGCACCTGCGACTGCCAAGTTCAAGTCACGATTTGTCCACCCGAACGCGTATCGATCTCGGTGCTACTCGAGAGTTAATTAACCACACAGATGTATCGGATAATTTAAAACGACACACACGGCGCTCCGATATGATCATTGAAGTTCATCATCACGGCCGTCATATTGAAATGATATATACACACACGCACGAGCGAGTATATTTTTAGAGAAGCGAACTTCGCGAACTTTCTTCTTGAGAGAAACAGTTTTTACAAAATAAATTTATCATTCGCGGACGGCAGAAACTTTTGTTTTTAGTAGCGACGCAGCTGCGCGAATTAATCGACTCGAATCGAGAACGCGAGCGATTAATTGCAAATTCGAAAGAAAATCGCGACGAAACTTTCCTGAGAAGATCTCGATTACAAATTTTTTTTTAAACCAGATTGTCTCTTATCGCGGTTGTCTATCGGGCGCGAGCAGAGATTTTTTTGCGAGATTAGAAACAACTGCCGTGCCATTTTCTAGTCAGATTAATTGACTTGGGATCGGGCTCGAGCGATTAATCGCGAAGTCCGAAAAAGCGGACCCGCGTTCTCATTCGCGCAGCGGCCGCACAAAAAAAAACGAGAAGAAAAGAGATGCACTCGGAGAGATCGCGCTCAGGATAAAAGGCGCTCGCGCGCGTACACCTGAGAGCAGCACAGCAGGTGCAGCGCAAGGTCTCGGTCCTCGCGGATCGAGTCCTGGCTCTTCTCTTGCGTGACAGCGCGATCGGTGTACAGAGAGACCTCGGCGTGTGACTCTGCGAAGCGCACAAAGATCGAACGTTGACCGCAAGAAAAACTCGATCGTCGCTTGTGATTTTCAAAAATCAAAAACGTCCCATCGCGCTTGTTGCTCTCCATCGTTCTCGTTTTGCTTCCCTCGTCTCTTGTACGTGCTCGGCCGACTTTTGCGTGCCATCGGCACGTTCTTATCCGTAATAGCGACCTTGACGGCAGACTGTGCGACCTACGACGGTATGCGGGCGCTGCAATTGTGTGTTTGCGCGCGAGTATATCCACCTTCCATTGAACCCCAAGGCTGCAACTTTGTTGCTTGTTGTTGTTATTGTCGATATCCGAGCGCGCAACGAGCACGAGGCAAATTGCGTTTCATTCATCTGCGCGACGGAACAAAAATGCGGTGTTGCGTTGTAAAAAAAGAAAAAAAAAGATTATCTGCAACGATAACGCAAATTAAAATTTGAAATAAATATAACATTTATAAAATTGAAGTCGTATTGTACCGAGTCGTATTATACGCGACGAGACTTTGACCGTTTTTTTTAGAAAGTTCCCGAAAGCTGGGTCGAGAAAAGCAACGATCTCATACGGACTTTTGTACGTGACAGGAAAGGGATATTCGCCAATTAATTCCAAAAATGCTCTATACATGTGGGATTTTCGATCCAGCCAGCGCGATCAGATAGAGACACGAGGCACGAAAGGATTCCTCGCGCTCGGCTTGATGCCAATCACGCAGATGATGACGCGGGCTCTACCGACAGCTGCATACTCGCGCCATTAACCGGCACTTCCAGCTTTCGGGCGTCGCTTGGCTTGATCAGCCATTATCATACAGAATCCCCACGTTCTCCTCATCCTCTCGCCAAGCTCATTCCCGGAGAGACCGGCGGTCGTTTGCATATTTCTCGGAAGTCGACAAAAAACCTTTGCGGAAATTAAAATTTATCCGCAAATATTGTAATCGGAGAAATTCGAAGAATTTCAATCCGCAAGTTTTTCTGACTCGCAAAAGGAAACAACGGAGACTTGATATAAATTGGAGAAACTTTTTTGGTTTTTGAGAATTAAAAAATTAAAAAGTTTTAAAAACATTAAAAACAATATTTAATACTTTTTTTGTATACTTTTGTATTTTTGTATTTGGAAACTCGGTTTTTGTTTTATCGATGCTACTTTTATACAATAAAAATATATATACAATATATTTGTTGAGAGAAAAGAAAAAATATATCAGGAATCTTCTGCGTAACGTCCATGATGATGAAACATAGCAAACATATATATATATGTGTATATATATATATATATATATATATATATATATATTCATGACGATTAAATTTTTATCATTTTATTGCTAATATAAATACTATTCTTTTACAAATTGAATTGGTCTAACGACATTTCATAACATGCATAAAAAATATCGGCTAGTCGAGTCTAGTGACGGAATAATCGTTAATGACAATGTACAATGGCGCTGAGAGTGCGATGAATGAGAAAAAAGAAGAGAAAGGCAAACGTATAAGAACACCTTTCCGTTCTCTTTTTTTTTTTTTGTATGATTTATTTTTTTTTTTTTTTTTACGTGATTAATTTTTTTAATCTGTATTTTCATAATTTCGCCGAAAATATATGATGTATCCATGATCGTCGTCAGAATTCGACGACACGTCGTGAACGTAATCGTACACTTAAAATAAAAATCAACAGCTACACGCGTGGTAACCACGCGTCGCGCGCGAAAATAATCGATCATTGATCAGAAGAATCTATTCGTTTCACCCCCGCCGCGAATGATGAACGTCGGACTAAATCGCTGCAAAACCGAAAAAGATGACTTTTAGTCGCGAAGTCAAGTATCAAATTAAGTACCTAGTAGAGATTTATGTAAGACAGTTTTTAAATGTTCGACATGTATATACCTCCCCCGTTCTCTGAATCTATTTTTCTCCATATGTCACAAATAAACAAAATAAATTACAGTCGTACACTTCGTGTTACGATCGCAACGTATTTTTCTTTTTTTCTTTTCAATCGCGAGATCGTAACAATTATCTTGACCGCAAAATGTCGAAACGCTATTTTTTTCTTTCACACGTGCGGACACAATTTTGAACGCGAGACGAGAGCGACACAAGAATGAGCGATAAAATTTCGTTCCGGTATTGCACGCTTGAGCCTACGCGTAGGGAACAACCTACTGACGGAAAATTCAAAACTCTTACGATACACAATAAATACACAATTCAATTGAGACCGTGACATTCAAGTGCTGAAATACCTAAAAGCGAGATCTCGTTAACTGTGTTCGAGCAGAACCCGAAGTCGACTCGCTTCTCCCCCGTAGAGCTACGACGATCCCGCGCGCGGTTGCTGCTGCGTGTAATATCCAAACGGACGTGATTCTGTGGAGGAGGAGGAGGACGACGACGAGCCGGACGTCAACAACGACGTCGAATTTGCGGCCGCGGACGACGAGCCGGTCGCCGAAGAGCTGTGACGTTGCTGCGACGACGAAGCTTTCTGCTGACCGACACTCGTCTGATGGGATCTGACCGGCACCGGAAGTGGCCGTTGAATCTTCTTCCCGTGATGATGACCGGGCGTGCGGTATCCCTGATGTCCCGGCCCGCTAGGTCTCAATCGCGGTCTGCCAGGACCCCGCCGAATTCCCGCCATACCGCCACGTGACAGCGGCATCAGAGAACCAACCGGACCCATAGGACCCACCGTGCTAGGACCGTCCCCGTCGGCAGAATCGGAAACGTGCATCCCTGTAACATAAGAAAGCGTCTCTTTCGTTCTAGATGATTCTGATAAAACTTTCGCCGCTGCGTATGACTTTCTATCGACAAACAATGAGAACGAGAGAAATTTCCCATTATAGAGTTTAATTTTAACCGATTTTGCGAACGTTAATGTTTAACGCACAATATTGATGCTTAATCTAAATTAGAAATGCGCGATTTAAAATTTATTCGCTAAAACGAGCGCTAATTGCGACAATTAGACATTGCCGGGATAAACGTAATTGTAATGTTTATGATATTACGAGAGGGCAGATGCGGGCACGCTATGCGAGAGTTCACGTTCGACTGGTTAAACCAGTTGATCAGTTATTCACATCGATATCTCCCGAAAAACAAGAGAGGAAAAAAAAGAGAGAGGAAGAGAGAAAATTTGAGGTTCGTGTTATACCGTGAAGTGTTAAATAAGAGAGGAACGATCCGCCCACAATTATCGGGGATCAACCTCCGAGAGAAAAGTATCGATTCTATACACTTGCGTGCGTTATAGTGCGCACTTCAAGCTTAAAAAAAGAAAAAAAAAACAATCCTATATTAAAATTTGGACCGAGAAGTGCGCGTTTGGAGTCGAATATATCGCACCTATTGTTGCCTCTTTTCCGCGTTGCCGATTGGTTGGTTGGTTGATCGAGTCGAATCGAATCGGTAAGATCGAGAGAGTAAATAATGAAAAGCAATTTTTTTGAGACAGTTCGTCGTATATGTAGAGAAAATTAAAAACGTATCTAAAGTCACGTGACAGGAAAGAGTAGAAAAACAACACGTGAAAATAACGTGACTGTAATTTATATTATATATAACATTAAATAATACATATTATACATGTAATTTATATTATATATTTATAATATTATACTTTATATTGTATT